TCCAAGATTTTAGCCAGGAGTCTTGTGGGAATCTTGGATCTGGGTTTGATCAAGAATGCATTCTGAATGCATTAAACGCATTCTGAATGCATTCCTTCCAAAGTGGACAAACAAGTCATGCAACCTACGTGCACAAATATATATATATATATGGTACACCAAAAGAACTAAGGACCAAAAGGCAACCAAAAATAGACACAACATATTGCAAATACCAGCAAAAGTGAGGTGAACATTGTTTTTTTTGGGGTGCCACATATATATACATAATATATATATATATATTATATGTAAATAAATCTATACATAATATATATGTATAATGTATGCGTTCATGTCCAGGTCCAGGTGCTTGTTGGCACCACTCGCTCATCGCATTGGAGAACCAAGAAAAACTACAGCAACACGACAAGATACATTGGAGTCTGTCCATTCCAGAGAAGAATGCGCCAGAACCTCTGACACCGGAAATTTCCACCGTCTTTCCAAGATTGCCGCGCAGGTTGAAGCTTGGCAATCTCGTATCAAAGTCCTCCAGAAAGAGAGTGGGGGCCCTCACAAGCAAACAATTGAAACAAATAAATCCAAAGAGAGCGTGTGTTTTGTGCGAGCAAGGGTCCACACTTGTGAGCAAATGCCATTTGCTTTGGCATCACCCACTTTAAGGTGAACACAAAGTTGGTGAGAACAATGATATCTTGGTGGCGAACCGGCCGGTGGTGGACAGCCGTGAGATGAGGAATCTCAGCAGATGTGGTGGGGGGGCAGGAAGGGTGTGAATTGACACAACGCTTTGCTGCTTTGCAGATAGATTTGTCGTACACGCAGGAGTACCTGCTGCATCCACTCCTCTTGAATCCCATTTTGTTTCTTTTTGATGATGGAGCTGAGGCAAGTGGTCGATGCTGACTCAAATACTTGGTCCGCCAAGCAGACCTTCGACTCCAGAGAGAAGAGCGGCGCTCGTCACGTCATGGACCTATTGGGCTTGAAACTTGAAGAAGTCAAATTCAAGTGATTGGAAGTCCAGTTGGTGAGCGAGTCTACCATAAGTGACCTGTTCAGTTGGGCGAGCTCCTTTGTGCGAATTGCATCCAATTGCGTCACCTCTTGTGATCCTGTCTCCTGAGGTTATCAGATGAGAGAGCCTTGCTGCGGAATACTGGGCATGGCCCGTACCAATCCAGCTGCGCGAAAGGGCAGCTCTTACAAAGGGCACTCATCCTGGTTCTTCTTTTTCAGATCGTCCTCCAAACCTTATGTGCTCCGCTCTCTGCTCAAGAAGAGCAGGGCCAGTAGCACTGGCAGTGTTCTGACCAGTCCTGCGCAGCCTCGTCAATGCTCCGACGGAAAATCCAACTCTGCCGGCTGAGTGGGAGGGGGGGGCGGTAAACCGGGTACGAGCATTTCACACAAGAATCACACCAGAGATCCATGTTTGTGATATATTTTGACCGCAGTCATCCGTCCTCTCTGTACATATATGCCCAAACAGCAAACCTGTCCCCTTCCCCAATTTCCAAGGAATGTTCTGATGCTCCCCCAAACGAGCTCACACCTAAACACATTTCGCCTTTCATCTTCCTTTTCACCTATAAAAGGTACCCTTTTTGCCCATGGTACACAAGATTTGCAAACATTTGAGATCTGAAAGCACCATTGGTGGGACAGATAGGTAAACCATACCAAGTGCAGAGGAGCGAACCACCTTCTTCACCACAGACAACACATGTGCTGGTCAGCCCCATTTCGACAGTGACTGAGACGGCGCTGGTCAGTCTTCTGGAGCAAGACTGCGATGGAGACAGCCAAGGTGCTACTACGAGAGTTCAAGACACAGGGTCAACTGTACAGTGCATTTGCAGGCAGCTTGGGACTCTTCTTTGGTGCAGTGGATGGCCCCACGTTGAAGCCTATGGAGAGAACAGTGAAGCCTACGGAGCCGGTTCCGGGGGTGAAGGGAGTTCCGGAGCCACGTGAATTGGGCTTTTGGCGTCGCTTTCTCCTCACAAGCCCTGGTGTGGTGTTGGCTTTCCGATTGGGATTGAAGGCCAAAGACCTTAAGGCCTCCTCATCATCCATTGCCCTCGCCGTGGTACCCACAGTTTGGGGTCCCTTGTTGTTGTATTTGTTTGCATATCCAGCTGGTGTGGAGCTCAACAAGTATTTGACAACTGAATCTGCCTGAACTTTGCCACGTACGCCTCGATCAACTGAGCAGCAACGAACTGCTCTTTGCAGCTTTGCCTTCTGGCGATGCTCGGCGTCTGGGTCAAGGCTTTTACCTCAGACTCAGCAGGACTCACGGTTTGCCGGCCATTCAGGACACAGAGAAGATCAGAGAAGGAAGCCTCCCATTCGCTTTAAACTGGGGGACAGGCGACCTACGCCTTGCTTAGGGTCCAATTCCAGAATTGTTCAAGAGTCTACAATTATGAGGAATCAATGCACAAACAGTGTTGCAGAGCGGCCGCGGACAGCTCGGTGCAAGTTGACCAATGGGAAGCTGAAGGGCACAAGGAAAAGTGGGAAGCCCACTCGATGCTGCAATGTGGTGGGTGGGATGGTTTTCATGGAGTAAAACCTGAGAATCAAACACTTTGAGCTTTATGTGGGTGAGTGTGGTGCTTCCGCAGCCATTTGGCTAGTAAGCATATGTTTTCAAACCATTATCATCCATTGTCATGCTTCTTGGCGCACACGCACACAGAGCATGGGGACTCATAGCTGAGCAACCAACTTTTTGTTAGCGCTTTACTATGCTTTACTAAAGTAGTATACGGCATTTCGCTTGTGAACGAGATAGGGCCCCCACATATATAAACGAGATGCTTTTTTTGACGGCACCAAAATAGTCTGAACGAGATACCTTGACATGACCTCCTACTTAAGTAGTCTGAACGAGATATGGTGCCCACACCCCACAGAATAGATAGTGTATTTGAATTTAGCAGTGAATAAATTCCGCCGCTCAGCTGAGTTGAGGTGCTAACATTTCAAAGCCAAAAACTTTCTGCGGACCCTTGGTGCAGATGGCACAGCAAGCAACAGATGCGAGCAACGAAACTCGATGCCATACCTGACCCATTCTCGCAGGCCACATCTGCAGCTTTTCGATTGAAACATTTCTCTCAAAAGAACGACGGGATTTGCTCTGGTATGGCTCTCCTTTTTGATTGAAGTCGCACGAGAAATTGGGGGATGTTGGTTTGTGCCTGACTCTCCATTCTCCCAAGTTGAGCCCTGTAAGACGTTGTCAGGACCATTTGCTTTGTGCCATCGGCACTACATTGCTTCAGCTCAAGCAGACACAGGTGGGACGATCCGGCGTAGCTCAACAGTTTTCAGCTTTTTCCCCCCAGCTGACCACTGATGATGGTGGCCACATATGTGAACATGTGGAGGCAAGCTTGCTAAAGCTACTGCATACTCTGAGTATCAACGTCCACCGCCTTTTGCGTTGTTCCTCCCGATGACTTCTGCCGATCTCTTCGCCCAATCTCTCATGGTGGTTCAATCTCCCCACCTTCCTTCTTCCGATTTCGATGGATTTGTTCCTGTCAGATCGGGCCGGAGCCAAGTCTCACGTAGCTGTCCTGCTTGACCGGGTAACACAAAGTCGGCCAGGGGCCTTGCAACGCGAAGCTTTGGAAGGTATGCTCTGAGCCGAGAAAGTAGCGTCATGGCAAAATGGATCTAATCTTGCTTTGCAGCCGCATGTCTCACGACAGTTGATTTGGCAGCTCTCCATGTTGGAAGCTTGCTGTGTCGGTCTAGAAGGCTTGCTGATGCGGGTCATTCCAAGGTCTCCGTGAGCCCCACACTGGCTGACAAAGCTCGTGACCTGTCGAAGCCTGAAGTCCATTTGCATTTGGATACTGTCTCGGTCCCCATGCGTATTTTGCAACCTTATATTATATCATATATATATATATATTGGATCAGATGTTAATTATATACTATATATATATAACTATAATCAGATGTTACTTACTCACATGTAGCAAGTGTTCATGTCATTCTCCCTTGGAAGTGGAAGACTTTGGATATCCTTTGATATTGTACAAGGTCTTTCGAACTCCGAACTTCTGTTTCCTTTCAGGTGTTCACCGCGCAAGAGTGCGTGACTTGCCCAGGAGAGATGGTGACGAAGGCATTGTACGGGACTTCCAGGAGTTGGCAGTTGGCAAGAAGGCTGTCCCGCGAACTGGACGGCTGTAGCTGGCTCAAGTTTTGAACCTGCACAGGCTGTGGTGGCAACAAGGCTTGCATGGAGACCTAGTCACCCAGTGCAGTGGTTGCTTACTTGACTTATGACAACCTGACAACCTAATTCTGCAGATGTTTTGCAGCGCCTCGAAAAGGTCAGACGTGCTTCTGAGGTCAGACAAGCTGAGAAACAGTTGGGAGACTCTGCATGGGTGTCCATCCTAAGCGACTTGACACACAGCTTGCAGTGCCCTCAGCCCGAGAAGTGCTTGCTTGTGGAGGGAGTGGGATTGTCGCTGGAGGCGAAAGTGCATCCCAGTGTTTTGCTAAGGCCAGAAATGTCACCTCAATCCCTGTCCTCTACATGCCAAGCTGTCAGAGGCTCAAAGATTCTACAGATGCAAAGTGCAATTAATTGTTTGGACTTGACACATGGCGAGAAGCAATTTGAAGCAATGTCTCTGCTACTGTGCTATTGAACATGCATAGTCTTTGTTAGGTGGCCAAGCTGGGCTTTGGCCGCAGAGCAGAGGGCTTAGACTGAATCTCCATCGCTTCACTGCAGCATTTGGTCCTGAGGCAAACCAAGAGATGATGCTTGGCAGATTTTTTGTTTTGGTCTTGACATGTTTTGACCACATCAAGGGAACAGGTTGTATGTTACTGTACACTGCACATTATGAGTCTATTGTTCAAAACTCGCTCCTCATACTTATTGTTCGAGGAGACTTTGGAATGGCTTTCCCTGCTCATTCCCATACCTTGAATCATCCCAAGCTCCTTTGATGACCACAACACCTTCTACGATTTTAAGACGTTTTTTGGTAGTGCAGATGTTGCCTTTTCAGACCATGCACGTGTTTTGCGTCGTCAGATACTGAGGAGGACAGCGAAGACCCGATTGTTCGAGCAGCTCGCAGCCTTGGTGCAGGAACGTGCAAGAGAGATGGGCCCACAGGACGATGGGATGGATCCACGGAACTGGTCTATCCACAGAAGGAGTCCATCAAAGTCCAAGAGTCTCAAGTTTTTTTAAGATGTAGTTTAGCCCGGTTTTTAGAGCATATGTTTCTCAAACGCCAGCGGCAACCATTTTCACCACCTCCGGTATCCAGTTCCAAGTATGCTTTCTCCTTCCTGCGAATTGGCAAATTGGCCAGGAGATCGCTCGATCTGTATCTGGCCTTGCCATCTCCAAGGAAGTGGCTGCATCTCATCCTGTGTTTTCTGCGTTGGGCGAGGCTCACATGACAGTCTGAAAGGATAAAAGCACTAACAAACATGTAACGAGTATATACAAATCATCCGCGGGCCTTGCAGCGCACATTGCCTCCGCGAGTACAAATCATCCGTGATGCACACATTGCCTCCACGAGTTTTGGCCCCCCTCTCCCCGCGAGTTGCTTTTGGAGACATGCAGGCAGCTACATCTCGCTTGGATGACTTCCAGGTCTGACAGTCAGCGCCAGCTGAACGCTTCTGTGGGGCCTTCTGGGAACAGTTGACAAGGCTCCTGCAGCTGCTCAGCTTGTGCTCAAGTCTCAGTGTGATGTTCTTCGATGCCGAAAATGCAGTGTCAGATATTCAATGTCCTTCGATGCCTCTGAAGCCGGGTTGTGGAGGAACGGCTTGTCCAAGCTTCGCCTGGGCGGAGGTGAGGGAATCTGAAGGAATCCAACATGATGATAACTGATACGCTTATTCAGACCATGAACCTTTTGGTGCTTTGGAAACTCGGTGCCAACGGCAAGCATTCGCACAGTTTTGCCCTACTGGTAGCCTGAATATCCTGCTGTCCTTTTGTTTGCATGAGTCATATTACCCTGCTGAACTGACTCCTGCTGTCAGTTCTCAGAGCACATGAAAAGGCTTGCAATCAATGAACGGATATGAACGGACCAATTGCGATGATCGTGAGTGCTGTTGCATTGTTTATCGGGATCGGTACGTGCATGTACTCGTACGTGCAACTAACCTCTCAAAATGGTGTAAAGCTGTAAAACAGATCCAACACGTGGGGGTCAGCAGCATGTGAGATTCTTCCGGCTCAAAAACAGAATCATCTTCTTTCGTATATCACAGTTTTTGTCATCTTCCATTCAAGAATCTTTGTGCAATCCTCCAGATGAAGACTTGGAGTTTTTGGGTTTCCGAGTAGGCCCCAAACAGAAACATTCACTCCGCTAGCTGGGCTTTGATTCCATGCTAGCTTGGCACTTGAAGAATACATGCTCAGCGCCCTCAGCTGAGCATGAACTTTTCTTTGGCGCTTTGTGTTTGCTAACTCCGTGCCGGCAGTACACTAGCACAAAAGCTCTGCAAGGAATGATGATTCGATGATGATGACGAGAGAGTTCCGCGAAGAGTGATCAACCATATTGCTCACTCACACTAATGTATTTACTAGGAAATATCCGACAAGCAAATCCCATGCGATTAATTAAGGCAGGAAACCAGTTGCAAGCATGACATATCCAAAAGACCTGTGCAAGCACGGCCCGTCAAAGAAACAACAATTAAGCGCAGCGGATAAATCTTTCTACAAATCCCGAAGCAGGTCTCCGAAGCATATCCCACGAGCTCCAAGAATAAAACATGAACTCCCAGACATGAGGCCACAAGACTGAGAGTCAAGTTTTGACATGGCTTACCCAGAGATGAGGCTGAGAGTCACATGGATTTCGACATTGTTTCAGCCGCTGGCAACAATCCATCCATAGCTTTGTTGAGGGCCTCTACGACTTTTTGTGTTATTCCTTTGTATGCAGCGGTCAACCAAGCAGGATGGCCTTAAGAGCATCTAGACATTTAGGAAACGAGTAACATGCTCTTGCCTTGTTGCATTCCGCTCCGTCCACAACTGCATGAATACAGTAGTTAGGTAGGGAACGGACACAGCGACCGGGACGTTCTACGTTTAGAGGCACAGGCCATTCGAGAGCGTTGCACACAAGCGGACTTGCCAGGCAGCTCCGGCGTGCTTGCCCAGTTTGCAGGTGTCTTGAAAGATTGGCTGAGCCTGGTTCCAAGAGCTTGGATTGAAAATAAAAAGACATGAGAGTTTGAGGGTGTGGGGGTTGCAGCCCAGGTGAGCTCTACCCCAAGGACCCCTTTTTGCCATGTGGAGATGCTCCGTCAAATGCATCAAGCAATTGCTTTCATTGAGGAGTTGGCCTTGGTGGCAAATGCTTATGCGCGCTGCAGTGTGCCGGCATCAGTGCCTTTGTCCAGCGGAAGGAAAGGAACTGTTTCGGATTGGGATATCCGATCCAACACCAACTCTGGTATGTTGTGGGCTTGGATTGCCTAGAGTGAATTCATAAGCTTACTCGGATATATTCAGGTCGCTCGCGACGACAACCGTCCGCACAGTTTGCTTCGATTCATGTCCATGCCAACACCCTAGATGATACGTAACCCAATGAGCAGACTCGTTTATTGTATAGTTTATTGAAAGAGTAATCACTACATTTTTCGACCCTTGAAATTGTACTTTCTTCACACATTGATTTACCATGTACTGTATATACGTTTTTCATTGATCCACTGCATGGTTCTTGTCACCTCCAGGTCATCATGCATGTCGTAAAGCTTATGCAGCCACTCTGTTTTTTGGACTCGCTTGAAATTGTACATTTTTCGGGGGGCTCAACATGCATCCAACAATGCCTGCAAATTTAGTATCGTTTACCTGCGGGTCTTATATCAACTGCGCATCTGGTATACTTTGTAATCACTCTGTCTTTCGACCTAGAGATGACAAGTTCCATGCAGTGGACGAATGAACGAAATAGAATTAAATAGATGGGACATCTCATGGTTGCATCATTTGCATCGCAGGTCCGTGAAAGGCGTACTGACGATTCAACGTTCCTTTTAACAGTTTGGGCCGGTCGTCACTGCAAACATACCAATTCAATGTCCTGCCCCAGATCAAAAGGATTATGGCAAAACCTTGCATGTTCCGCGGTTTGCATGTTGTCTTCCACCACGCCTCATGATGCAGGATATGCATTTCCGTTCCTGAACGAAAACACATGTTAACTCTAGGAACTCAATGCACACACCCCAGCAAATTACGCCCCTCAGCACCTTCGGTGCGGGCGGATTTCCTGGGCAACTTCCTTTTCGAATTTGTGGTGCTGCCTCCTGCCTACATCCACCTACTCCGCCGAGGTTTGTGACAGCTTGTTTGAAGAGCTGGCCACTTTGGTGGTGAAATGTATGGATGACCTTGTGTCTCAGGACAAACTTTGCTCTGCACCACTTCCCAAGACCTGAGAAATTCACATGATTGTCAGACTGTCATGTCGCAGATGTCGTCAGGACGTTGCTAATTTAGCGAATGCCTTTGCCAAGCTGGATGCTCCAGGTGGGTGGAGACCTCAACAACATTTCTCCATGGACTCCAGGTTTCAAAACAGCAATTTATGACACTCCAGTAAGCTGAGGCAAGCAGGGCAAGAGTTGCTGCTGCAACTGGCAAGACATGCAAAACTGTTCCAATCTCAGCCGAGCTTGTTGGAATAGACGGGGAGAGACTTTTTCTGGGTAAACTAAGGTAGTGCCTGTATGGCCGACAGTTACCTTTGTCTCGTACGCTTGCAGTAGAAGTAGCTTTGGGCACACATCCGGCGCTTGACCAGAACACTTAACGCGGGTCACTTCAGAATGGTATCATTGCTTGGAACGCCTTTGCAACGGCAGGCCCAGGCACAACAGCCATTCAACAGTGTCGAGTCTGATCCACGACCACCCTCCCTTTTGGTTCGTCCTCCTTTCAGAAGACCAATTGGAAGTTAGCCTCATACATGTGCGGGTGCTCTGCTTTTGGTCAGAATGGGTGGATTCCACCAAGGGTCTGTAAGATTTTGACGTGCAGATTGCCCTGCACACAGTGGCACAGGAGTCCATGAATAATGTACGTCAATGATGTCAATGGTTTCTCGTTTTGTTCTTGGTATAAACATTCATAAATATGCATGGCGGTCTCTTTGGGTGGGTGATACCGAGCTGTGTTGGCACTAGATCCTGACTGTTGCGAGTCAACGAGGCCTGAAATGGATCCTCCACACATTGCCGCCATGGCATGGGCCTATGTTTGAGGCTCAGAAAAACATACCCAGGAAAATAAGGATATATATATATATAAGGATATATAAGGATATGCAGCGATATGCATGCTAGAAATGACAGGTCGGACTTTAGGTTCTGCAATTCTTCTTGCTATATATTCAAAAAGATTGCACTGCCAAAAGCTGTCCTCATTGAATCCTGAATTTTGGGGAGCTCTCAGGCACGCTTGAAACATCCAGAGGTGCGCCTAACACCATTGCCGCTTGCCATGCAGATCTTATTCCTGAAGCTTGTGCTTCAAGGCTCCTAAACTGCTATGGGCCATCGCGGAGCAGTTGTCCTCCTCCAAAGGCTGGCAATATTCAATGACGGAGATGCCTTCAAGGCAATCATCGTACACTAAAGAAAGAATCCTAGGAACAAGAAGCTACTAGGGGCTCCTGGCCTTACTACTAGGAGCATGGACGCTACTAGGGGCTCCTGGCATCGCTACTAGAAACACGAAGCTACTAGTAACAAATTAGCCATAGAATTTCGCTCTGAGACCGTACAAGCTGTTAGACCTGGCTCTTGAGGCTTTCACTGTTTCTCCACACAAGAAATCGTCAACCTTCTAAGTGTCAGACTCTGATTTGGGGCCGTCGACATGTCACTGAATGTCACTGCATGGAGTGGGAGCTCGCTTTGCCTGCTTTGCCCCAAGGCCTTTGCCAAAACTCGTGTCAGACATCAACTTTTGCCTCCTCCTTACATTCAATTCCTGTGTATATACTGTAACAATACTACTTTGGATACACATCCATTGCTGAACTGTATTTGTGTTGATCAGAGGTACACACACCCGCATTGTAAATTCACAGCAGCTTACGACAGAGAGAGGATGATGCCGAGCTCCGCCAGCTAGGCTTGAACATGTTGTAACCTATTTGAAAGAGAATCCGCAGGCAGGTGCGGGGGGGGGGCTCCAGGGTGTACAGTCGACACTGAGATGAGCCACTTCAATCATGTCAATGGTCAATTTGCAGTAGTAGACTAGCTTATCTCTATCCGCTCAGTGTTTAGCTGCGGCATAATTTTGTGAGTATTCAGCTGTGCCCATATTTTAGCGAATCCTGAGGACGTATCCAGCAGGAACTTTAAACGTTCCGAGTTTAAAGCACAATTACATAATACAATTAATGTGGCTGGTGATGGGGAGACTGGAGTCAACGAACGATCACATGATAACATCAATATCTTGTGGCAAACTTTGCTGAAGAACCACAACACCATGCCATGGGATCACAACCCTTGTCCCACAGTGGTGGCTCCCGATTTCCTCAAGCTGTCCGCAGTTTGCATCCCCGCAAAAAGCAAAGAGGAAAACTAAGGTCTTGGCCATGGGTTGACATGAAAGCAGCCCAACTAACTAATGGACGTTTTCACGAGCTGTGGCAGATGACCAGTCGTTGGATCTTGCCGAGATTTCACACCAGGTTGTTGCTCAGATGGTGCCATTGGCTGCTGCCTTGGGAGCGTCGAAGAAACAACTTTGGCAGAAATCGACGTGTTTGATTCTCAAGGATATCCTCTACACGGCTTCTTCCCTGGCAAGGCAGCGACAGTCAAGCTTACAAAGACTCCAAGAGACGCTCACCATGTGTTCCACGTGTGCGCCACGCTTTCAAGAGCTTGCACCCTTGCAGGATGCAGATCTTTGACGAGACTGTTTACAACCTGCTTGCTCAAAATATTCGACGAACTTGGACACTCGCATTGCAATTCTGGAGATCTAGGACACGAAGCTTTAGCGATCTAGAAAGGATATGAAAGGATCATAAGTTAGCTGGTTTGGTTTGCAATCAGACACAGAACAGCGTTTTTTAGTGGAATGGAGGACTCCCCACATCATGCGCAATGCCATCCTCTCCTTGTCTTCAGTATTGAGTGCTCAGCGTTCGTTGCTGATAAGGAAAATCAGTGCAAAGCAGGGCATCTATTTCTTGCAGTCCTTGATGCAGGCCTGACGCATTTGCGTGACGTTCGTTCTCCTTTGCTTTTGGCCTGTTGTTCTCTCAGAACTATGAGCAAGAAGAAATCATACTAATTCCTTAACATTTGGTACTTAATGGATCTTAATGTTACTCAAGTATTTCTTAAGTCAGTCCGTCACCACGACAAGGCACAGTGTCTTGACAAAGACTTGGCCAACGGTCTGGTCCCAATCCTTCAACAAGCTCTCCAGCGAGGTGCAGAGAAGACGGAACCACACAGATGTTCGAAGCATTTTTCGCGCTTTTTCCTATGCAAGTAGCTAAGCATAGCCACATGCCGCCTTTTTATCCAGTTTTTTGTTGAGAATGCGTAGGTGGGCACACTTTTGGTCCATTCTCGGGCTGACAGGTCAAAAAGACCCGAGCACATCTGATTGGGTTGTCCAGCTCTTACGTCCAAACGTGGACACGTTTAAGCCAATGCGTGCACAATGTATATGTATGTATATATATTGTAAGGGCTCCGCCCGGGTGCCGCCGACCCCTTTTCATCTCGAGGGTTTGGCGGTTGAACCTTGACAACTTCCTGGGATTCAACAGCGAGACTTGGATGGGCTTCACACCAATGCTGGCATTCAACCAGCTGCCGAGAAGAGGGCCAGGCTGCGGTGAGGCTCTGGGGAGCGTTTGAAGCCGAGCCCAAATGCCTAACGTTGCCTTCGGAAGCCCATAAGAAGAGAGGAGGCAGGCTTCGGACAGGCCACAGAGAGGCCGCAAGAGGCCTGCCGGCTGCCGAGAGGCTTTTGAAGCCGGCCCAAAATGCCTAACGTTGCCTTCGGAAGCCCATAAGAAGAGAGGAGGCAGGCTTCAGACAGGCCACAGAGAGGCCGCAAGAGGCCTGCCGGCTGCCGAGAGGCTTTTGAAGCCGGTCCAAAATGCCTAACGTCGCTTTCGGAAGCCCATAAGAAGAGAAGAGGCAGGCCTGCCAGCTGCCGAGAAGAGGGCAAGGCTGCGGTGAGGCTCTGGGGAGCGTTTGAAGCCGAGCCAAAA